GTCTTCAAATATAGCACACATTGGCCTCCAACTCACTATCTCATTGTAGCCCAGGCTGGCCTCATTCTCCTGAGTGCTAGGATCTTAGACAGGTGCCACTGCATACAGTTCAACATTAATCTTGATACTTTCCAGTCCTGTTGGCTTCTTTTTCCTTGTAGTGACAGTATTTTGGTGTTTATATTCCATTTCAGGTCAGTTTGGGGTCTCAGTCCTCTACCCGTTCCCATAGTAATTTTTGTGTTATGCTGTTTTCTTCTATCTCTATTAATATTGTGACTCATGCTTGCCACTTATGAATTCAGTCTGGCTATACAGAACTCTGTCTCAATTACAAAGCTATTAAAATATCTTATTTGCTTATCTTATCTTATCTCTAGAAATTATGTGGTGGTCACCTGACTAGAGATGATTCATAGACTTATATATTTTATACCTTCATTTAAGTCACTAATATTTTAAATATAATAGGACCCAGAGCAAGTTATGTGTATCAGTGATTGATAGAGTTACTTGGGTTGGTTGACTCTTGCTATTCTTCAACACAAAGCTAGATAATACCTATGCTACAGTTTAGTGCTGGCATTTATGTGCAGCATGGTATTTAGTAGCTTAGCAAATGAAGCTGTAAAGTGATGTGCAGCTATGTAAAAGAAAAGGTCATAGACGTAGCTACTCAGTACTTAGGCATCCCATTCCATCTGAGCCTTGTGAGTCTAGCAGTAGGCAGGCTCCAGACAATGTGATAGACATCTCCACATGTATCACCTGGAATCTATGACAAAGTAAAAGATGGGGTACTGGGTAGGACCATTTCTGATGGCTTACAACTATAATCTTCATTTAAATTGTGTGATGTGCCAGGTATGGTAGTCTACACCTATAACTCCAACATTTGGGGGGCTGAGGCAGGGGGACTGGGAGTTCAAAGCCTGCCTAAGCTACATAGTGAGACCCTGTTTCAAAACCAAAAAATAATAGCTAAGTAAGGATAAATAAGTAAACTATGTGATATGACCTTTCTTTATAAACTTTTTCCAACCAACATAAGTAAAATCACCATTAGACTTGAATGTGAATTCTTTTCTTAACCTTAAGTGTTGCCTCAAGTGTTTCTTCTGCTTAAAAATAGTATCTTAGCAGTGTCCTCTGTCCTCCGTGGGCATTGTACGACACAGGTGCACTTACCTACATGCAGGCAATACACACATACACATAAAATAAAAATAATAAAATATTAAAAGAAATAATGTCTTAGAGCTGGAAAGATGGCTCAGCAGTTAAAAGCATTGGCTGCTCTGGGTTCAGTTCCTAGCACCCACATGGTGGCTAACAACTGTCTGTAACTCCAGTTCAAGGGGATCCAATTCCCTTTCTGGCCTCCAAGGACACTGCACAACATGAGTACACTTACATACATGCAGGTAAAACACTCATGCACATAAAAATAAATATAAAATAAAATATTAATGCCCATCTTTAATGAAGTCTATCCATTTTAAACTATCTTCCTGTTTGGGCTGTATTCTATTGATTTCACTATACTTATTTTCTTTTAAAGGAAAAAATGACTCATGAAATATGGGTGCTAGAAGAGACCCTCAAGGTCCACTTGTTCTAATTTTTCACTATCCAATCTTACAATAATTGCAATATGGTATTATCATCTACAAATGTGTTGGGCCATATTCATAGCTATCCTGGGACATATGAGATCTGATGGCCACAGATTGGACATATCTGGTAGAAATCTGATTTTTGTCCAGACTAATCTGGATTCTCATAGGTCCACCTGAAAGGCGGTTTATTTTGATTAACTTTACAATGCGAGCATCAATGCATGAAAGTGACTTAGGATCTAGACTCTTCCTTAGAAGATATTTTATTGTCTACGAAAAGCAAATATTTCTGTTCTTTCCCTTATGCAAATCCTAAATCTAAGCACATGCTGGTAGTATGACTCCACTGGGTCTATTGTGAATTCTGCCTCTTGCAGGTTTTTCATATTGCCTAATCCACTCTTGCCATTGGTTCCATACAATTCAACTTCTTTGAACGCTTCAGAGATCTACTGCAGATCTGATCTCTTGCTTGAATAGAGTTGTTTTGTTCTCACCCTCTTGCTTCATATTTTTCATAGTTTAGGTCAGTTTTCAGACAGTATCAAAGGCATTACGAAATCAGCATTTCTCAGATGATCACTGTCATTAATCATTAGGGAAATGAAAAATAAAACCAAGACGCTATCACGCCTCATGTGTATTACAATGGGTTATGCATGTTTTAAGAAAGATGACATGCATGAGTTGCTGGATTGTCGCTCAAGGACCACAAAAGAATGCGAAGGGGAGGGAACTCATAATTGTTGGCAAGCACACAAATCAGAATGCCTTTGTGGAAAATTGTACGAAGAATACTCAAAAAACCAGACAGAGCTACTCTATGATCCAGCACATAGCCCACTTCTGGGTATATGTCCAAAGGAGCAGAAATCAGTATGTACAAAAGACGTCAGCAGTCCCATGTCCTTTCCAGTCTTCTCACGAAAGTCATAATACGGAGTCAACATGGGTGTCTATCAATGGATGAGTAGAGACAATTATACATATAATGGAAAACTATTCAGCCTTAGGCTGGGGAAAATCCTGTCATTTGCTTGAAACTGGATAACATTAGGCCAAGTGAAAGAAGACAAGCACAGAAACATAGATACCACATTATATGACTTCACTGTGGAAGTGAGCGAAATTGAACTGTCTGAAATAGAAGGATGGGGGCTCCCAGAGCCTAGTGCACAGAGGAGGTACAATGGGGGCTTGGTGATGACAAGCCACAAAGCTTCAGAGAGAAGAAATAGAGATGAGAATTTTGTGGGTACTATCTAGCGAAAATTAGTATCAAGGTCGGACTGAGGCCTTCTAAGGTGAATGACTTCCAAGAAATGAGGAAACAACTTACTTTGGCAAAAAGGTGATTCTTGCCTGGGAACATAAAACAAGATGTTTGTTAGGGAAAGTGCATGTAATGTATGGGTGGTGTAAGGGAGTCTGGGGGTTAAGAGTAAAGCTCATCTTTCAAGGATACACTACAGAGCCCCGAGCCTAATCTTAAAGGGACCATTTCCCTGGAAACAAACGAAATTGTGAAAATCTGGACACACAGCAGTTATAGCAAAGCAAGCTTTATTTCGTTGATAACAGGAGAGTCACAACTCAAAGTCCAGAAAAGATGAAGTGAACTTACAATGTCTTTATGTACAATGACTTCATACATCAAGGTTCTTCTCAGAGTGGAAAATTTGTTTTCAAAAAAAGGTGATAGAAAGAAATATGGTGCTTACCCACGATTCTTCATCCAGTAGGCACACATTTTTCTCTACTATGAATAAAGCCCTCATCCGAAGGTTTGTTGCTTAATTATTAGCAATAATTATTAACTAATAATTCTACCAAGTGTCTCCTTTGTCAAGCAATACGACAAGCATTGTGATGTGTCCCAGTGTAAAAGTCTACTCCAGGACGGGACTGACCTCAAAACAGTCCAATCATCTTCTCAATGTGAGACTACAGGAAAGAAGGCTGAGGAAGAATGACTTTCAAGCCAGCCTGCCTGCAGTACTTGTACGACCGGGATAGTTAGACTACCATGTTAATCAGAATCTGACTGTCCTTATAGCTGTGCTTCCTGTTCACTTAATCTGAAGCTAATCCTGCCCCACCCCACAGCTGTTATAACCTTCAGTGTTCATTCAACAACCCAATCTAACTGTGTTAGAAGAGACATTTGTTCAAGTTCTCTCTCACCCAAGGTCCTTGATGAAATCAGGGCTTGAGGGCGGAGGCATCTGTGCATCAAGGCAGTGGGATATATAATTAAAATTACAACCAGTAGTTAGTGAGGAGGACACAGAGGAAGAAAACAAAGAAGTAGGGTTAATGCAAACACCTTGAGGGAGGAATGCTGGGTAGTCATGGCTACAGAAACAGAAAAGGGGACTTTGGTTAGAAAGAAACTCTTAATGTCAGCTATCTCCAACAAACTCATGTCCTCAAGAGTCAAAAATGACACCAAATCCTGTACAATTTGGGGTCTGTCGACTTGGCCTCTTCTTACCAGTTTAATGGATGGCTCCTCTTTCTTATGCAGAGGAACAGGCAGATCCAGGAAGCCTCATTTTCCCTACAAGTGTTCCTAGTAGCCCGGAGGAGGCTATCACTAGAAAAGCCCAGCTTCATTTTCAGAAGGGTTCCTACCAATGATGCACTTTCTCTGCAACAACTTAAGTCACAGGCATGGTCCATTTGGGAGATGCGACCGCTGAATGTCACTGGACAAGGTGGAGATGCTCAGTTCCAATGAGTGCTGAGGGATCACCAGAGTGACTTAATCTCTGAGGCCCAGGACATTCAGTCTTGGGCTTGAGAACATGCAGGTTACACCTTTTCTGATGGTGGATGGGTGCCAAATTCTGAGGCTTGGCAGGGGCTGGCTGTTGAAGAGCCATCTGCTGGCCACTGACTTTGTTGTACTTGGGTAAAGTTCTATTTTGTGGAGTGAGATTTCACTTAGAGAGATCCCTGCTTTGGAGACATTCCGATCCTCTGGGAGTTTCTCAGACAGTGGTCTCCCAGGCCTCGCTACCTCCCCAGAGAGCCCTTCGATGTCTCCCTGGATTCTGTGTTGTGTTTCAGTTACAAAAGCCCAAGAAGGGAAGAGCCCATTGTCTTGTAAGTAAAGTCTTCTGAAGCTACAGCTACAGACAGTAAATAGGGACAGAGGTGGGTGGTAAGGGGAAGCAGCCGAACAGGAAATTGAAGTAGAACAAATAAAGGGGTAGGATGGACAGAAAAAGAATGCAGGAGGATGAGCAGCAGACTGGGAAGTGGGTTACATAAAAGTTCTTCTCACTCCTGGTGCACAAAGGCTGCAGATGAGAATCAGACCCTAGGAAGACTCTGTGTCTCCCACCCTGGGAACCCCACAACCTGACACTGACTTACTTGCTGGTGGCTGTTGTGTGCAGCCTCCTCTTCAATGCTGTCAGTGAACTCCGTGCTTGCGTCTTCAGTGTCATCGCCTACAGTAGCCCCTGGAAGGAAGTCCAGAAGAGAAAGGTGATTCTCTTCACAGATGGTGTTGGCAGCAGGTAAAGTTACACACTTGCCATCCACCTCTGATTTCGTCCGTTCTTCAAACACTTGGTTCTTAGCTGGCGAGGAAGACAGAACCAAGCCTTCTATGCTGATGTCTCTTTTTTCCTAACATTTAAGCCTAACGCCTTGAAACAAGCAGGCTCTATGTATACATCTAGACTCCAAAAGCCTTCCTAGTGGAGATTCCTCCCACCCATTTCAAGAAATCTGGAATTACTCTCCATTCTGACCACAGAATAACTTTCTCTTAACATGAGCCAAACATTACTAACTTTTCCTCTACCATTGAATGCTAGACAGCCCTGCCTTTTCCAGAATTAGGGACACTCTGCTCCTCACACTTTTCCATTGTTGGGATTGCTGTGTATGGAGTGGCAGTATCTCTGAGGAACTCAACTCGGGGGGCGGGTGCACTGTGTCTTACTGAGGTCAAGATGTGAGGCACAGGATGATTCATGGGCTTCCTAATTCCTTTCCCTAGCCACCCCTCCTCCGCATTTCTCTCAAATTCTCAGTGCCAATTTTTCCTTTGCCTGGAAGGTTCCATATACTGCATTGCTCAAATGGTGTTTAGTCCATCCTTTCATTCCCCAAGATGTACATGCGCCACGCCCCCCCACCCCCGAACACATGCATCAATGCCCTGCTCTAAGAACAAGCAGCTTTGGTTAGCGGTCTAGGCAAAGGTCAAGGGTGGTGCTGAGCAGCAGAACCTTCACTGAGGATGGCTGTGGTCTGTGTATGCAAATGGTCAAGAAGAGCTCAGTCAGTTATAAATAAATGGCAGTGTGTTAACTAGTGGCTACCATACTGGATGGCACAAATATATGTCATTTATTCCTTTTAAAATTAATTATAATACTGTCCATACAATTCTAAACCAAGAACTGTGACACGCTTTATTGATTTTATCCCCCTTAGAATATCAAAGAGTATCTATTGCCACACTTTCATCTCTTACAAAATCTGCCAAGTTAGGGACTATCAAGACCTAGCTCTGACCCTGCCCTCAGCAACCAAACTGTTAAAATGCTCTTCTGACTACTGAGTAACTAGGGGCTCAGAGTTTCTGTGGTTTGCCCAAGGTTACATAACTCATTTAATAAGAGCTGGGTCATAGGTCTGGACTCAGAAACTAATTGTTTCCGGTGGTGGCAAATCATGTCCTTACTTCTTCCTTCCCTGAGCTTAGACATTCATGAGTGAATGAAGATTCAACATGAACGATGAGCATTTATGACCAAAGTGCTCACCCTTCTTACCTCTTTCAAGAAAAGCTGAACTAATTCCATCCTGCACATTGAGTGGAAAGCAGGCATTACATATCTATCATCCATTTCTTAGCATCTACAAGTTCATACCAGAGTATGTGCAATGGTTTCCTGATCTCACCAGGGAGCTAGGGGGTAGCTAGTAAAAACTAACATCTTTATTGTGAATACTGTAACTTTAGATGAAAGCAGATCTCATGTATCAAATCCTGTACCATTCAGCATCCTTAGAGATGCACCGCACCAGTGCTTCCAATACTAACACCTGTAAGTCACCCCCAGAACCATCTCCCTCAGGGTCCTGGTAAGCAGAGGTGAATGAACTTTTCAGAAACTCGCTAAAATCAGAATGCTAAGTCACCTGAAGACATCAGTCATCTTATGCTTATTTTGGACAGTCTTTCCCTGTATAACTGTAGAGATCACATTTATTTCCTGCAAAGAAAATGAAGTTTCTCACTTAGTGAGAGATCAAGAAAGTAATTTTTCCCATTATTTCCCTTTGGAGTACTGAGCTGTAGAATGAGCCTGAAGATCAAGAAGGCTCAGCTCTATCAGGTCGGGACCCTTGTCCCCACACCATCCTCAGTGGGTTGTCTAGTCTGCTCTATACTAAACCCATATCCTAAAATCATTCCTGTACAGAGTTCCAGGAATAAGTTGGGGGATCTCCCCTTCACTTACCTTGGGGGTCTTTCCACTACTAGAACATTTCTACAGTTTGCTTTTTACTTCACTGTGAAGGGACAGGATGCCTTGTTTCTGACTACATTAAGAATTAGACAAAAGCTGGGACTGAAGAGATGGCTCAGTAGTGAAGAGCACTGGCTGCTCTTAAGAGGACCTGCATTCAGTTCCCAGCACCCACCCGGTGGCTAGCAACCATTCATAACTCCATTTCCAGGGAATCTGACACCCTCTTCTGACCTCCACGGGCATTGCATGGACATGGAGCACTTACATACATGCACGCAAAACACTCATAAGCATAAAATAAAAATAAATTCAGTTTTTTAAAAAAAGAATTATTCAAAAGAAGAATGCCCATCTCACCCCAATGCTCTACTACATGAAATTTTCTCTCATCCTTAATGGAGCTTGATACTCAGCTTTTATTGGCTGAAACTAGAATGCTGGAAGTGTGTGTGTGTGTTTGTGTGTATGTGTGTGTGTGTGTGTGTGTGTGTGAGAGAGAGAGAGAGAGAGAGAGAGAGAGAGAGAGAGAATAAAGCTAAAATGATGTGCGTTTCAGTTTTTATAGTGTGAGAATAGAGAGCTCTAAGTGTGTGTGTGTGTGTGTGTGTGTGTGTGTGTGTGTGTGAGAGAGAGAGAGAGAGAGAGAGAGAGAGAGAGAGAGAGAGAGAGAATAAAGCTAAAATGATTTTATAGAAATAAGAGAATGAGTCCATGCTCGTGTAGGCCCTATTTAGAAGTAAACATTAGACAGCCCCCTTTCTGTTACCATTTCCATTTTTTAAATGAATGAAATTAAATGTTCTGGGGCTAGGACCCTCAGTTGGGAGAGTGTTTGCCTAGTGTGCATAAAGCTTTAGATTTGATCCCCAGCACCACACAAAACCAGGTACAGTGGTGCACACCTATAATCCAGGAGGATCTTTTAGATGTTCAGCCTTCCTCACCCACACAGTGAGCTCGAGGCCAGCCTGGGCTACGTGAGACCCTGTTCCCACCCCCTCCCCTCAATTTTTCTTTTGTATAGGATTCCTTTTTCTATGCTTTTAACAAGGCAACAGAATACTACCTTCGTAACTATCTTCATAACTTTCTAATTTAAATGGAATATAGCAACTTTGTAAAATGATCTTTTTTAATAAAACATGAGATTCTTTGAAAGCTAATAATCTGCTCATTTCCAATTAACTTGCTTCCTTAAGTTTTACATGTTAGCATATAAACATGACTGAAATTTTATTAGGTATTTATTTGAGCCCTCAGTGGAAGTTCTCAGGTTGTGGTTCCTGGAAGTTTCTAGGCTCTGAACCATACAGAATGGAGGTGATGCCAATATGTCCACCACTTATACTTAGAAATTTTTTTTCTACCAGCTATCTGACTTTACAAAGTACACAGAAATCAAACCCTTAGAATATAACAAAACCCATGGGTGAGAATTTAAGCATTGCACAAATACAAGGTATTTCTTATCACTGAAGCAGAAATTCATACTTTCATAGGGGTTTTTAAATTAAAAACAGCATAGTGATTAAGAATGACTCTGGAGCCAGATCATGTTTGAACCTGCTTTTACCACTATGTGACTTTAACTAGGGTTGGCATGTTATCTGCTCCATGTAGCTGTTGTGAACTTCAAACAGTTTCAAACTTGAAAGAGTTTGCTGATTCTGAAGTGCTTAGAACAGTGCTCAGCACAGCACGCACTCAGGAAGTCTTACCCTTCAGCAACATTGTTTTGCTATTGTTGATGAATTGAAGAGAACTGAAAGGTCGAGGACTGACAAAAGTGAAGGCCACAGAACCTGAACACAGGCAGCAGAGGCACGTGTTAGGCCTTTGTCACTGATTCTACCTTTACTTCTTTGCTTCCGAACATGTTTCGCTAAACAAGACGCTAGCTATACTTTCTGCTCTTCCCACTTCACCGGACAAATGAAGAAGCATGGGGCTGTCAGTGAAGCAGGATGAAGCCTTCAGGAAAGGTGCCCTCATCATCATCATCAAATCAGCTGCCTTGAACTGCCATTTTAATTCATGGGTATAAATGGAAACTGGGTAGGGTCAAGGCCATTTTCCTCCAATTGTACTTTACGGTCATTGAGTCACTCTTACGGGAATATTTTCCCACAGAGTTGCTTCAAACATTGCAGGGGTCATATGTTATTAATTTGGAAAATGGAATTGAAGAGCTAGTTTGCAGACCAAGTGTTCTTCCCCTCAGGTCCTCTGGCCAGGCCTCTCGAGTTCATCTTACTTTTGTTCCCAGGCATTCTACCAACGTGCTCATTACTGGAACAGTCAAATTTTCATGTCATGAACCAAGTATTAAGATGCTATATGAGAATCAAAGACAAAGGTCTCCTGTCATGCTGCAGTGCTCCCGTATCCCTTCCCTTAAGAGCTGCAAGAAAACTTCAAATCTTTACAGTCCTCCAGAGCTTCTGCTGAAATATTTTAGACATATGCTGATCTTGGTGAAGAGTGGAACTCTGCTATCTGCAGTCAAGCCTCTTTATGGCACACTTTTCTTTTGTCTTTAAAATGCAATGTTTCTTAAGAATGCTAACCATCATGAATATTAACTCAAAAAACAGTTGTTGCAAATGACTTTACAAAAGCAAATTATAATCCAAATGAATGACTTTTCATGGTATGCAATCTCAATATGATTTTAGAAAGTTTACTTTTCCAAAAGGATTATTCAAATAAACATCACTTATTTAAAATGATCGGGACCTGGATAAATTAGGGCTATCCTGTGCAGATCTGCCCATGGTATCTGTCTTGTAATGTTGTAATTACAAGGGATTCTCCCCACTGATGGTTTCTTTTCTTCAAAGAGCAAAAGCAGTAGGCTCTTGTAGGAATATTTAGAAATGGCCTACCCACCACAGCAGCCGATCCTCAAAACTGGCCTGCTTTTCACTATTGCCTTTCAACAGGGAGAACAAGAAAGGACTTTAAGGTAA